GTGCAACGCACGAGTCCGACTAGTACTTAAAGTTATTGAAATAAAGAATCTCAAAAAAGTTATGTTGTAACAAAGAAATAAATACAATCGAAAATTAATATTTGTCAACAACACTTTCGTAATATAGAGCTTAGTATAAATAAAAGAAATATGCAAAGCAGCATTGCAAAGAGTAAAATAAGTTTTCTCGAAATCAAACAACATTGGCTCATTTTGGTCGCCGTGGGAATCTATGTGAATACGAAGTCGAAAAAACATCATTGTAAAGTAAGTGAAGGAACGAGATATATATAATAATTTAATTTGGATTGAAAATTGTAACTATATCCAAAAACCCACCCACACTAATATTTTACTATATCGACGAAACAAGAAAAATACAGAAAAAGCATTATGTGTTTTTTTTTCTCAAGTAATTCTATTTAGCATAATTGATGGTGGTGTTAAATAAAATACATAATTTAATGGATCACATAATTTTACCTTCAATAAGATTTATTGTCTACAATCATCTAGATTAGTATTGTAACATCAACTCGTGTAAGTTACGCAATAACATACTCAACTAGATTTATAGCGTGTGAGGTTATAGAGACACCTCTTGCTCATACCTAAATTCCAAGAAATCCAACTATTCAAGTACATGTTTGACCTATAGAGTGATGTTGGAAAACCAGCTAGACAATCAGAATAGTAAACTCGAATAGAATCGATCAAAACATTAATTATAGAAAGTTCGAACTAAATAAGTCTAGGTACGCCTTACAAATCTCCTCATGGCGGATTTTGCTTTCAGTATTGGTGCTAACACGATAGTCAAATGCCTATCTCTCAAATACATATCTTCTTTTATCGGTATAATATAATATTATCTTTGTTGGATGAATTAACCTTGATTGTATTCTTCTTGATCGGAATAACTACAAACCCAAAAGCTTAGAAATTTGAAATAGTGATTGTTCGAAAAACTCCAAGAAAGCTTGAAGTTGCTTGAAACTAATTTGGACAAAATTTAATAATTTATTGAGTACGTCAATTATATAGAAAATATTTGAGAGTCTTATTTATAGGAATCCATGTGTCCATGTCGATTTGTTGCATTTTTTGACACCGCTAGACGGTAAAGTATTTTTCCAACATCATCCACTTAAATTACAACATTTCGAAATTGAGTAGATAACATAGAAATAGGGATGGCAAAAAAATCCGACAACCTCGATACCCGCGGGGCCCCGCTTAAACGGGTAATGGGGTCCCCGCCCCGC